AACAAGGGCGAGGCGAGGGCGGCCCCCCCATCTCACCCTCCCCCTTCCTGCCCCACACACTCCTTGCCCGTCAGTATTCAGGTGGTCGCAGCGAGCCACCCATCCCGCGATGGACGTCGACAAAATAGGAGTAGGGGACCTGCATGATGTCTCCTCCCAACCCTACATCCCCCCTTACCGTCGCTCCGCACAGGCAGCGATGTCGGCAGACGCCCAGGGGGAAGGGGACGGGGAAGGTGTCGGGGGAGGGCGGGGCATTGCGGATGGTGCTGCCGATTCCACCACCGCCACCACCCCTCACTTTCCCCCTGTCCCATCTGCACCCGCCCCAGGGCAAGCCGCCATCCATGCGCAGGCTAGCCCATCGCGGCAAGCGGCCATCGGCGGCCACACCCCCTCACCCTCCCAGCTGCCCCATTCTCACACTCCTCACCCACAGCAGGGGGCGGTCACACGGCAGCCGCTGATTGGACAGTTTGCCCAACCCCACACAGGTCGCCGGAAGAAGGCAAGGGCACGGGGACACCCGGGGCAGCCCGGCGCTCGGAGCAGCCGGACACGACTCCACCCTCTGCTGGCGTGCAGCCCTTACCATCCACCACCCCTCAGGCGACCCCATCATTGCCCCGGCCGCCACCCACTGCCCTCCCATAACCAGGATGGCGAGCTTCGGACGGTCTCCCTCCCTCACCCCACCCAGGCCCACTCCCCTGTCACCCACCCATCCCGCCATTGGCCCCCCACCAGACGGTCGCCGCCGATGCCCCATCCGCGATGGAAATCGAACCGGAGGCGGAAGAGGTGTCGTTAGCCTCTCGCAAGCAAGCCTATATCCCCCCCCAGCGTCGGTCCCTACCACCCGCCTCTTTGTCCCCTCCGGTCCACAACCTCCGACCCAGGTCAGGGCCCACGGTGGTTCGCCCACCACGACCAACCAGCCTGCCCTGCTCCCCCTACCCACAGGCGGACAGTCGCAGGGGGCAGATGGGGAGACGGAGGCGGCAGTTGCCGACCTTCTCAGGATATGGGACACGTCGCCACCCCCCTCTACGCCCGCTTGTCCGGGTCGGGTGGGGGGGGGCACCGTGGACTCTGCCCCAGACATCTCCCATGCCCCCCCTTCCCCCCGTCCACCGCCCTCACACCGGAGCGCATGGTGATCGATGACTCCGACGCGGCCCCCGACCACCCGCTCCCCTCCCCCCAGGATGCAGGGGCCGCACCTAGGCCCTCGGGCCCCCGCCGATCCCTCCCCCTCTTTCGACATCGCCGCCGCCGCTGACCCCCGTCCGACCCCAGGTGGCAGGTGAGCCTCCTTCCCCGAGGGCGGGCGACTATCGACCGGACCCGGTCGTCGAGCCGGCCGCCTCCACCGCGAGCTCTGACGATACCGCCCACACCGATCACGCGGACGAGTCCACGCCAGCCCATGAGGTGAGATGTCCCACGTGTCTGAACCTCATGGCGGACGATAGAGCTCTCCGCCACCACACACCTCACTGCACCCGAGCGATGAGGCACGCCGTGTGCAGGCCCGCCAGGAGGCCGCCTCGGTCGGCGGGTCACTCTCACGCCCGGGTTCCTCTGTCCCGGTCTTTTCCGACGCGCAGTGGGCGCAGCTGGACTCTGTGGATTGGAGGGAGTATTTCTCTCCGTCCCGGACGCATGCTCGCCCGCTCCGGCGCATTCCGCCGAGGGTCCGCGGAGGCATCTCTGATGTCCTCCGCGCGATCACCGCCCGTATGGAGCAGTATCCGGATGCCGACGGGCCCCACTTCTTGTTCACGGCAGTGCCGACGCTGTTCTTAGCGCCGGCTACTCCACCAGAGCGGGGCCACACAGCTTCCATCGCGGCTCGCGTCGCGCGCTTCTTCCGAGGTGAGTGGGACTCTCTCTTCTCCGACGCGCTGCGTCGTCGCACGCCCCTGCCCACCCGCACATCACGTCGCACCCCCGTCACCACCACGTCGGGAGACGAGCGTCGGATTGCGCGTTGCCTGCGCTTGGCAGCGTGCAACGAGACATCTCGTGCGTGCGCGGCACTGGAGTCGGCCGAGGCGGCTCCAGACACGGATCGCACGGTGCATAGCCTACGGGCTAAGCACCCTAGCGCGGAGCGCCCTCTACCGGAGTGGCTCTCCACCTTCCACGAGGACGGCCTCGTGCTCTCTGCCACCCACTTGCGCCAGGCCATTTTCACTGCACCGCGGGGCTCGTCGGGGGGACCGACCGGATGGGTGGCAGAACACCTCCGTGACACCTACTTGGCATTCCCACAGACCCTACCCTCCTTGCTGTCTGTGTACCAGCTCTGGCTCGGAGGACGCTGCCCCTCAGCTGCGCGTTCTCTTTTGGCCTCGTCCACCCTTGTGGCTCTCGCGAAGCCGAACGGGGACGTGCGGCCGATCGCCATTGGAGAGGTGCTCGTGCGCGTCCTCTCCCGCGCAGTCTGCCTCCAGCTCCGCGACCAGATGGCGAGAGTGTTCCTCGCGTCACAGCAGTTCGGAGTCGGGGTCACGTGTGGCACAGAGGTCACCGTTAGAGGCGTTGTCCGCGCTCTAGCTGACCACCCAGGCTGGGTGGTTCTGCAGCTGGACGTGGCCAACGCCTTTAACTCTTTCTTTCGCGACGTCTTGTTCCAGGCACTGCATGCCAGTCCTGAGTTCAGGTGCCTCATTCCTTTCATCCGTCTTTTCTACGGCACGCCGTCCGATCTGCTCTATCGGACCGGCAGGGGAGTCACCACGATGCACTCGGAGCGCGGCACTCGGCAGGGAGACCCGCTGAGCCCGTTTCTCTACGCCTCACGCAGCGCCTTGCCCTGGAGCCCGTCCTGGCAGGGGGTGACGTCCAGCTCTGGTCGTACGCCGACGACACCTACCTCGTGGGCCCTCCGGACAGGGTGCTGCACCACTTCACGGAGGTCGTGAGGCGCTTGGGCGGGTTGGGCCTTGCTGTCCAGCCGCACAAGTGCCTTGTCCATCACACGTCGGTGATCCTGCCTCGCGACGTGCAGGCTTTCACCGATCTGGGCATCGAGGTCGCACGCCGGGGGCTCACCGTGACGGGCGTCCCGGTTGGCACCGAGACCTTTGTGACGACCAGCCTGCGGGACCGACTGGAGAGGATGGCCGGGGTGCTGCCGTGGCTCCCGAGGCTGCGGCAGCCACAGACAGCGGCGCGCCTGCTCTCCGCGTGTGTCAGCACACGTCCGCAGTACTTGGCGCGGACAGTCCCCCCATCACCAGAGGTACGTGCCATCTTTGCAGCGTGGGACGCGCGCTTGGGAGCGACCTTCCAGCAGCTCCTGGTGCGAGGTACGTGGAGGGAGGGGGACGCGATCTGCGGGGCAGCCCTGGAGCAGGCTTTCCTCCCGATTCGCATCGGGGGCTTCGGCATCCGACGCATGGAGCGCATCGCCCCGGTGAGTTATCTCTGTTCGTGGGCGCAGTGCGCACCGATTCTCTGCTCGTTGCCGTCGGTGGGGGAGGGCTTCCGTCAGAGCTTCGCATCAGGTGAGCCCGCCCAGATCGATCCGCACATCATGATGGCTCAGGAGGCCCTGCCGGCGGACGTCCTACGCCTCATGCCGGCGTGGCCTTCTTGCGCGACAGGAGCACCGGACGGCCTTTTCAGAGAGGCCAGCAGACACATCGAGGCGCACGCTTTGGAGTCGGTACGTGCCCGTCATACTGATCCCCTGCATCTTGCCCGTTTGACATCCCTTCAGGGTCCAGGTGCGGGAGCTTGGCTTACGGCGGTGCCCTACGCGGACTCCCTGCGCATTCCGGAGGCGCAGTGGCAGGTGGCTTCATGCTTTCGTCTCGGTCTCCCCATTCCCCAGTTAGTCCTGGCAGGTCAGTGCTCGTGCGGAGAGGAGATCGCCGACATGTCGGTGCCGCATCACGCGGTGAGGTGCGCGCGCTTCGCGGTCGCCACGACCATCCACGACACAGTGAAGTTCATGCTTCGTGACTTCGCAGACGAGGCCGGCTTCGCTGTCCAGGTGGAGGACACGGCGCTCATTCCGCACCTGGAGGCGGCGCGAGCTCGACTGCAGGTTTTGCACGCGGGGGAGGGGCAGGGGCAGGAGCGGGCAGGACAGACAGGACGGCAGCAGCGGCGGGATCAGGAGGGGGGGGAGAGGCAGGCGGGTGAGGAGGGAGAGAGGCAGGGGGCGGAGGAGGAGCAGGAGGGGCAGCAGCGGCGGTTCGGCAGGGAGGATCAGCAGCAGCAGCAGCAGCAGCAGCAGCAGCAGCAGCAGCAGCAGCAGCAGCAGCAGCAGCAGCAGCCGCAGCAGCAGCAGCAGCAGCAGCAGCAGCAGCAGGGCACGGGGGAGAGCCGGCGGGAGGAGGAGCAGCAGCAGCAGCGGCAGGGTGGCGGAGAGGGGCAGCAGCGGCGCGCGGGGGGAGAGGGGCAGGTACAGCTGCCGCAGGGAGCTCAGGCAGGGCCGCAGCAGGGGGCCCAGGCAGGACAGCAGCAGGGGACAAGGGACGGGCTCTTGGGCAGGGCACCACCGAGGCGTGTGCGTTTCGCGCGCGAGGCGGTAGGAGAGGCGCACGCGGAGGGGAGGACAGGCGAGGGTGGGCTAGAGGGGTCGGTAGTAGGCGGGGGTATAGGAGGGACGGAGGGCGGGAGGGGAGGGGGGGCGGGAGGGAGAGAGGAGATGGCGGAAGGGGCGGGGGTGGCAGGGGGAGTGGGGGAGGGGAGAGCGGGAGGGAGGAGAGGGAGGGTGAGAGGGGGAGCTGGGAGGGGGACCACGACGACCAGAGGGGGGGCATCAGGGGACCAGACAGAGCAGCAGCCCGCGCAGCAGCAGCAGACGCCAGCCGCTCGCACAGGCCGCATAGGGGCACCCGCCCGCATTCCCGACCTCACTTGCAGGGCGCCGCGAGATGCATTGATGGTGATTGTAGACGTCTCGGTGGCAGACCCACAGCGGGAGGGGAATGCGCAGTTCAGGCGGATGGCACCCACTCAGATTGGCGGCGCAGCAGCTAGGCGGGTGCAGGACAAGCTGCGACACTGGAGGCCGGTGTTACAGGGGTTGCAGCCGGATCCAGAGTTTTACGCCTGCGTAGTGGAGACTTTTGGGTGCCTGAGTGAGCCACTGCGGCAGTTCCTAGGGCTGTGTGCATCGCGGACAGCACGGCGGAGGAGAGATTCAGGGGCAGGGGATGACGAGTCGGCACGGATATTTGAGACGAGCCTCACTACGCGTCTCTCCGTGGCACTGCAGCGCGCGCAGGCAAATGTGATCATGCAGCATGCAGTGCGGCAGCTGGGCGGCTCCGACAATGGATGGATGCCAGCGCCTGTACCTTTGGGCGCTGGGCAGGGGAGTTGGCACCACATCACAGGGTGCTTCGAGAGTGCAGCAGATATGCAGTACATGTATGATGCATATGTGTAAAAAACATATATAGGCCGTGCTTGAGACGCTGTGCCCGCGCTGTGCGCGTGGGCTGTTGTTTTGTTAGGTCCCAGGATGTCCCTTTGATATAGTCACACTCCCCCTCCCCTCTTCCCCTCTTCTCTTTCTCTCCTCTTTCTCGCTCTCTTCTCCCCCACTCTTTCTGCTACCTTCTTCCTTCCACTATCTTCTCTCTCTTTCCTTCTCTATCTCTTCTCTCTCTCTTTTTCTCTTCTATACCTCTAAACGCTACTATGTCATAATAGCGCAACGCTCATGCCGAAAATCTCATCTTTGGCTTTAGAATTGCTATATGACTTGTAACCCTCTTCATTTTTAATAAAATAACTGCTCTCGCCCACTGGCGCTTAGCTGCGGAGTTCTGATGGGATCCGGCGTAGTAGCCAAGGTATGATCGTACCACGTGCAGTCCTGTCCGCGGTCCGCTTCCCACTCCTCCCCCGATGCAGCTCCCCTCTTTATAGTCACATCCGCGGTCGTGCCCGCAAGAGGCTCGCCATCTCGCTGGGGGCAGAATGGACGCCCATACATAGTCGCGCTCCGTGGCGTCCTATGCAGAGAGCGGCCCTCCGCAGAGCGGCGCGACATCGCCGCCCGGGCGGTTCGGAGAAGAATCCTCCTTTCTTTTTCCCACTGCCCCCTCCCGGGCACGGGAGCAGGCAGAAATGGGTACGACACGAGGACTTCCCATAGGAACGGTGAGCGGGGTGCACCCCCGGCAAGGGGGAGCAACCCGAATCAACTCCCTCTCGGCCCTCGCCGTCTCACCCCGGCTGATCCCACTTCCCAAGCCCCACAGCTAAGCTTCGGGCCAGGCGGGGGTCCCTCGGCGCCCACTTTGCTTCCCTTCCCGGCCGTGGGCCCTACCTTGCCCGCGCCCCGCCCCCCCCCTCCCTCTCCCACACATCCCACCCGCCCCCTTTCCCCGGCAATCCAGCCGGAACTCCCCTCGCGCCCTTTCGTGCAGCCCCCAGGTTTCATGTCCCGCACGGCAGGCGACCACGGGAGTGCCTCCCTCTTGGGCCCTCCCTTGTCACTTCCGTCCCACACACCCTCCAGCCCAGCGCTGGGGCACCCACCCTTCCCACCCCCTCCATTGAGCGTCCCACCCGCGCTTAACCCTTACCCTACTGCCCAACCACCTCTCTTGCCCTGCCCCCCTACTCCCGCCCGACCCATCAGCGCGAACAGGGGCGAGGCGAGGGCGGCCCCCCCATCTCACCCTCCCCCTTCCTGCCCCACACACTCCTTGCCCGTCAGTATTCAGGTGGTCGCAGCGAGCCACCCATCCGCGATGGACGTCGACAAAACAGGAGTAGGGGACCTGCATGATGTCTCCTCCCAACCCTACATCCCCCCTTACCGTCGCTCCGCACAGGCAGCGATATCGGCAGACGCCCAGGGGGAAGGGGACGGGGAAGGTGTCGGGGGAGGGCGGGGCATTGCGGACGGTGCTGCCGATTCCACCACCGCCACCACCCCTCACTTTCTCCCCCTGTCCCCAGCTGCCCCATTCTCACACTCCTCACCCACAGCAGGGGGCGGTCACACGGCAGCCGCTGATTGGACAGTTTGCCCAACCCCACACAGGTCGCCGGAAGAAGGGCAAGGGCACGGGGACACCCGGGGCAGCCCGGCGCTCGGAGCAGCCGGACACGACTCCACCCTCTGCTGGCGTGCAGCCCTTACCATCCACCACCCCTCAGGCGACCCCATCATTGCCCCCGGCCCGCCACCCACTGCCCTCCCATAACCAGGATGGCGAGCTTCGGACGGTCTCCCTCCCTCACCCCACCCAGGCCCCACTCCCCTGTCACCCCCCCATCCCGCCCTTGGCCCCCCACCAGACGGTCGCCGCCGATGCCCCATCCGCGATGGAAATCGAACCAGAGGCGGAAGAGGTGTCGTTAGCCTCTCGCAAGCAAGCCTATATCCCCCCCCAGCGTCGGTCCCCACCACCCGCTTCTTTGTCCCCCTCCGGTCCACAACCTCTCACCCAGGTCAGGGCCCACGGTGGTTCGCCCACCACGACCAACCAGCCTGCCCTGCTCCCCCTACCCACAGGTGGACAGTCGCAGGGGGCAGATGGGGAGACGGAGGCGGCAGTTGCCGACCTTCTCAGGAAATGGGACGCGTCCGCCACCCCCTCTACGCCCGCTTGTCCAGGTCGGGTGGGGGGGGGCACCGTGGACCCTGCTCCAGACATCTCCCATGCCCCCCCTTCCCCCCCGTCCACCGCCCTCACACCGGAGCGCATGGTGATCGATGACTCCGACGCGGCCCCCGACCACCCCCTCTGCCCAGATGCGTCCACTGCTCCTGCTGCCCACACCCCAGCTCCTACGTCCCCCGGCGAGGCCACTGAGCTAGCCTGCCATCCGGACGCATGCCCCGCCCTGGTCACTGTCCCCCTGGTCGTACCATCCTCACCCACGCCCGCGCATCCCGCCGTCGCGCCTCCCCCCGGCCATTGCCTTGCCCGCCCCAGACGCACGGCCCGCCCCCCACTTGGGCCACCGACCTCGGACAGGGGCCCATCGAAGAGGCGGTTGTCGGCGCTGACGGCTCGGAGAGCACGATGCCAGTCCCCCCGCACGACACAGCGGTGCCGACAGGAGGACTAGCGGTCACGTGTCCTATCTGCCGGAGCACCTTGGTGAGCAGCCACGCTCTTGCTCTCCATGCACCCCATTGTCAGCCGGCCGATGCTCTACGCAGGGCTGAGGCCCTTCAGGATGCCACCTCTTCCCCTCCCTCATTCAGCGAGCCACGCGCCTCCGTCGTCACATTCTCGGACGCCCAGTGGTCGTCCTTGGATGCGGTCGATTGGATGGATTATTTCTCACCGAGACGCATGCATGCTCGCCCGCTCCGGCGTATCCCGCCGAGGGTTCGCGGGGGGTACGTGGATGTCCTCTGCACGATCTTGCAGCGCATCAGCCAGCACCCCAGGGCGGGCGGACCGACGTTTCTGCTGTTGGCCATCCCGACCCTCCTCCTCACGCCAGCTACACCACCTGCACGATCACATACGGCGGCCATCACTGCGCGCATTGCGCGCTTCCTTGGTGGAGATTGGGACGCCCTCATAGCAGAGGCGCTCCACCGCCGCACACCCCTCGCGGCATGCACGACACGCCGCGCCCGCGCCGCGACTCCGACGCCTGACGAGCGCCGCATTGCCCGTTGCCTCCGCCTGGCAGCGTGCAATGAGACGTCACGTGCTTGTGCGGCCTTGGAGTCGGCAGAGGCGGCCCCGGACGGAGATCAGACGGTGCACCGCCTACGGGCGAAGCACCCTTGCGCGGAGCGCCCCATCCCAGCATGGGTGGCCTCCTTCCGGGATGCAGCCCTGGTCCTGAGCATTGAGCATCTGCGCAGGGCCATTTTCACCGCTCCGAGGGGCTCTTCGGGAGGACCTTCGGGATGGGTGGCCGAGCACTTCCGCGACACCTTCTTGGCCTTCCCGAAGGCCCTCCCTACCTTGCTTGCTGTCTACCAGCAGTGGCTCCGGGGCGACTGCGCCCCGGCCGCACTTCCCATGCTGGCATCATCCACCCTCGTCGCGCTCTCCAAGCCGAACATGGACGTTCGGCCGATAGCCATAGGGGAGGTCCTTGCGCGCCTACTCCAGCGGGCGGCATGCCTGCAGCTGCGCGAGCCGATGGCTCGAGTCTTCCTACCATCACAGCAGTTCGGGGTCGGGGTGACCTGCGGTACTGAGCTGGTCGTTAGGGGCGTCCGTCGCGGCAGGGCGGACCACCCGGACTGGGTGGTCGTCGAGCTCGACGTGGCGAACGCCTTTAACTCGTATCACCGCGATCGCTTGTTCGAGGCACTGCGAGCGAGCTCCGAGTTTCGCTGCCTCATCCCTTTCGTTGCCCTTTTCTACGGCACGGCATCCTCGCTGTTCTTTCGGACCGGGCGAGGAGTCACCACCATCCGCTCAGAGCGAGGATCTCGTCAGGGCGACCCTCTGAGCCCAT